GCCAGCGGCACCCCATCACACGGCGCAGCTGAGACAGCGAGCGAAGGTTTGGAAAGTCAGCGATAAGCACATGCCAAACGAAACGTACTGAAAAAGAAGAGGCGCGATCGATAAAGGAACCAGGGTAAGGTCTTATCGCTCTCCCGGGCCAGCGCCGAGATTGGAATCGCCGCCGTTCTTTCTGTTACTCTCTGATTCTCTGCCCCTATTCCTCTTGCTTTGTTTTATTGATTTTGCCGTGTCAACTCTCGCCGCGGCTCGCGATCGTTACACGAGAGCCTCTGTTGGAAGCGAATGTTGCCATTTGAACTCGTTTGATGTCGATTACAATCTATTGTCGTTGTCGTTTTTTTTTTGTTTATCATTCGTCGTCGTTTCGATAGCGCGGCAGCATGAGCGATTCCCTCCGCAAGAAGGTGGCGCATAAAAAAAATGCGCCTGCTCGTGTCTGTGACCGCGGACTTTTCGGTGGAAGCCAAGGGCATGTCGCACGACTTGTGGTACAAGCTCAGAGAGTTGAGAGGGAAGCCGCGCATATTTGGTATACGAACATTTCAATACCATCTTCATCTTGGCTCCTCCATTTCCGATACCTGTCACGCTTTGAATGGTATTCCAGTATAGGTGTTTTTCGTAACACATTTTGTCAAAAATGCCTCATGTTCCAAACTGTTCATAACGACGTTTGCCAATCGCGACAGTACCCGGTGGATGCCCTTTGCTTTACGCTTCTGCAACGCCTTCTGACAAAGTTCTTCAAATGCGTTTCTTAATGCTTTCGTGTCTTAGTCTTGCGCTATTTCCTTTTATTATATTTGTGACTTTAACTAACTGCCAGTAGTATCGTTTACAGAAATAACCTATCTCCTTCTATAACCCAGTAATTTCAAAGTTCACTCAAGACACGGTCCTATAGTTTGCTTTTTCTGATACACATTCACAACTTGCCGAATATTCGTTCTTCTAACATGCAAAACTTCGCAAATGATTCACTCATTTATAGCCAGATTAACTACGTATCAGATGCTCACCTGCTTTAGTCTGGTCCGCATAAAAATCGAAATCGGGTGTAACAAATAGCAGATCTTCGTAAACACAACACATCACAACAGTGCTAGCAAACGCCAAGGAACTGAAGTCGTGACTAAGAAATTTCATATGCATGCAAGTGCAATCAAATGCTTAGCTGTCCTTTCTCTTCAGGTCATTAAATGCGGAGGATTTCTGAGCAAATCAAAGGTACTTTCCCTGTTTTTATCTAGCCATCTAGCCACTTACCATAAAATGCCGAGAAGGCGCCCCCCCCCCCCCCCTTATGGTGAAGGATCATCTGACATCATCTGACCAGATTTGGGAGGGGGTTGCTTGCTCGGTCCTGGACCGGTCATTGGCGCTTATTTCAGATCTCCCGAAAGGGGAAGAGGCGCTTGCTTTGGGAAGGGGGGGGGGGGTGCTTGCTCGACATTTTACGGCACGTCTCGACGCTCTCGAGGACGTCTCACTAACTCAATACCTGCAAAAAGTTGCATAGGAAGACACTGTCGTGTAATGAACACCATTCATGGTTTATGACATGAATAAACCTCGATTGCCTGTGGCATACGTCGTAAACGTTACCTTTTCAACCTCTCACATGTGGAACATAACCGCCTCCTACCTCGGCCCGTGGTGGGTGCGTATGCACCACAGGTGATTCAGTGTATATTACGCAGAAATAGCGTGAACACGCTTAAGAAATCTGAACACGATAACGTCAAGAAGCCTGTGTCGCAGGAAATGAGGTGTCGGCGCAGGCGGAGTTATCAATCAGTGAAAATTTTTGATGGAAGCAAGAAATAAAAATCATTGCTCAAACCGGAGTCGAACTCAGGCATTCTGTATTACACGTCAAGGATTCTACCACAGAGCAAGGCCAGTGCTTCGGGGAAAGACCGCATGAAAGCTTATCGTCTGGAAAATACCAACTTTGTCTGCTGTAGTGACCATCCACTTTTATACCAAAGTAATAAAGATTGCAAACGTATACTTTCGACAATGTTCGAATGCACCTGCGACCGTAACTTACGACGAGCACATCTCACCGTATAGACCTTATGTAAAATTGCTGCCATGCGCAGTGCGCACAAACTGGCAGGTCCACGTGTGTTTACGTAGACGTATACGTAAGGCGTATCGACGTGAGGCGTGTATTGGCTGATAATCGGAATGTCGACGTATAGCTGCGTCCCTTGCTACACACAGAGAGGAACTCGAAATGCTGAAGGAAAAAAGTAGGTCGTAAACTTTGTCCCTTGTTATTTTTTTAAGCTGACGACGTTTTCAACATGCATGTGCTCCGGCTACTGCTCCTGAAACACGTGTTTGCATTCTCTTTTCTAAGAAAGTAAGACGTGCAATAACGTTTGCATTCGTGTTCCCCGAAATTGCTTCACGCCTAAGCAAAGTAGTTTTTGCAACGTTTTCGCTAGCAGCCGTTTACCAAGTGAAAGTGCCTCGTACGCTTCAGGTTATGAAGCCACCTTCAAGCAAAGAACTTTATCGCACCTGATTGCGTGGGCGTGCCTGCACTACGTTGAATGTGTTTTGTTTATTACGTTTGGGTAACGGCATACACTTAATTATAAGCGAGTGCGTGTCATCAGTTCATTCTAAGAAGGGAGCCAGGGGTCTATGCATCTTTCTTTCATGCTGCTTCGTTCTTTTAGGGGCGAAGCTCCTTAGGGCGTGGGCTGTGCGTCCCCTGTAGCCTGTATGTAGCCACCTCTAGTTTAGTTCTTGCAGTGTTCACTAGATGGCGGTACCGTCCCCTGTATGTAGCCACCTCTAGTTTAGTTCTTGCAGTGTTCACTAGATGGCGGTACCGTCTCCTGTATGTAGCCACCTCTCGTTTAGTTCTTGTAGTGTTTACTAGATGGTGGTACCTGTAGCTGATGATGAAAAGATGCAAGATGTTATAAACTAGAAAGCAGTACTTGTAGTTGATGAAAGACGCGAGATCTTATAAAATAGGAATGATGTCACATATGGCGCGAGTCATTGGTTGAAGGCAATCGTTCGATTTAGTGCGGCGACGTACGCTAGGGGGAGCGATGTAATAAAATCGAGTGGGCAAAATGTACAGAGGATTCATGGTTTACCAGGTTTACCTCCGGAGCTTCGCCCACTCATCATCATTCACTTCGTGGATATGGCGGAATTTTTTTTCTCTGCAATGTGACGAGCTGCCGTTTAGAAGAGATGGCTTGCGCATGACTTTGCACGTTTTCCAACCATTAAATGTGCTCGGCACATTAAACTTATTGCGGGCACATGTAATTAGCCACGATAAAGCTCGTTGCGTGAAAGCTACTTCTTAATAAAGCGTACGAGTCGCCTTCACTTGGTAAGTGGCTGCTACCGAAAACACTGAAAAAATTGCCTTGATTCGACGTGCAGCAATTTGTGGGAACACCAGTACAAATGCTATTGCACGTTTTATTTGCATAAGCAGTAGCCGGAGCATAATCTGGAAATGTGGTCAGCTTGAAAAAAATAACGAGGCACGATGCTTACAGCTTACCTTTTTATTTAAGTATTTCAAGTTCCTCTTTGTGTGCAGCAGGCGACGCAACAATACATCGGCATTGCGATTATCAGCCGACACGCACCTCACGTCGGTACATCTTTAGTATACGTACTGTAAACAGACGCGGACTGTGCGTACTGCACCACGCTGGGCCTCTAACATGGCGGTATGCACACGAGGGCCAACAGATGGCAGCAATTTTGCATAAGGTCTGTTTATAACGTGCACTTCGTTGCAATTAATCGGGCTTCTCTGCTTTAACGTGAGCGCCTCCGTGATGTTGGTTCATATGAGCAGCCTTTATACATCTGTGTAGACGACGCGCCTATGTGAGCACACGATATGGGCACAAATGCTCAATTAAAAAAAAATGACGTCATTCTTTCTCCTAAGACTACATTCACAGCAAAAAATTGACTCGTGTAGCTAATAGTTGATTGCTTCACATGAAACAGGTTCTCACAATGCGTGGAACCTGCTTTGACTTGCCTGTACGTGTAACGTGGTCCCCCCGTACGAACGTGCCGCGCACCGCAGGTGTTGGCGCGGTGCCAAGTAGGTCACACCATTGCTGCGCGTAGACGTCACGCTCTTCTCGCAGTGCACGCTGACGTCACTCTCCCTCGCCTACCGCGTGCTCTCCGTGGCACCCACAGCCAACACCACTTATACTACAGAAGGCCTTCCCCTGCCTTCCCCTCAACAGGCTGACGTCACCAGAGAGAGATCGGTGGTGGATTGAGAGGAGGTCAGGAGAAGTCGAGAGAGCCGACTAAAACGACGAAAGAGCGACATGGCTTGTCACGGCTTATGGCTGCAAACTCATGTGCAGCCAATCGCGTGCTGCAGCATTTTTTTTACAAGTTGACAAATACTTACAATACATACATACAAGTTGACAAATACATACAAGTTGACAAATACTTGTTCCCATAGTGCCTTTCTTCACTAAAGAGTTTTTTCTTGCTACATGGCTTCAATACTACCGTTGTACATGATATATTTTAGAACAGGCGCTGCATTTCAGCTTTTAAAACTTTGAAGTGCTGTTTATAGCGGAAAGTGTGTTGTGCTCTGGCAACATTGTGCTAAAACTACGTTGTTTGCGTCGTTTGGTGACTGTTGTAAGCAAACGAGCTGTCTCTGTCACGGCATGCACTAACAACCCAATGACTATGCCTAGCTGTTGTGCGCCGAATCGCAATTCTAATTATGCCGGAAGACCCACCGTTCCCCGCCAATGCCACTGAAAGAGCAGGGTGTACGCGCGCCGTGCCGCGTACGGACTTTGCGCCATCAAAGTTCACAGGGGTAAGAAAATCTGCCGTTTTTTTTCATTCAGTTTGTTTTCATAGTTGCATTCGCTGTCGCTTAATTACGAGAATGCTCAGTATTTCCGCCGTTACCACAAATATAACGTTCTGTTTGTTTGCAGCTGTGCGAAAAGCACTTTCACCCAAGTGACTTCGTCACCTCGACGAGCTACATGGACACGGTCACTGGCAAAGTGATTGAAATTCCGCTTAAATTCAGGCGTCTAAGGCCTGTAACTGTTCCAAGCATTTTTCCTGGCTGCCCCACGTATCTTCCTCAACACAAAAGTGCGGCTCGCGAAGGCCCGGAAGAAAAACGGACTCGTATGGAGGCCGAAGCACTGCAAGACGCATTACAAGAGTCACTCATCACACATCAAGAGGAAGAGCAGAGCAACGCCATCTCCTCTTTCGAGGACCTCTTGTGACACACGAACAAACTTTTGGTGGGAGACTTCTGGAGCAAGGTGATGGTGAAAGGCAGTGTGTGGTTCTTGTGCCCCAAGATGCGCTGGTTGTGCGTTGGGCTGTAGTTTTATGTGCCGATCTCTGCCTCAAAGTATACTTTGGAGAGACACAGATTAAAAGGGTAGGTACCGTTGTGTTCCCCGTTTCAATTTCGGACATTAGACAACCGGGTGTTCCACTTAACCGCGTATAATAAATTGTAAAATGCTCCCAAAATTATGAGGCAAGTGTTGAGCTTCTTTTGCGCAGTATGTTGGCGCACTTAGAAGAACTGTCATCATTACAGTTTCCATCTGACTGACAGGCAGAAGTGGTGAAGTTTCTGAGACACCAGGTTGAGATTGCTATGTCTCATGAAGCGAAGTATCCAGCCGAATTACTTGTGTTCGCCAGTATTATGTTCACAAGTATTATGTTCACAAAAGTGCTCGAGCTTTCCGAACTCCCCCATTTATTTGTTCTCACCCCACGTGGCTCTCTTCATGACCCACAGTATACGAAACGGTTTAGTGTTAATTGCCGTACGGGAGCAAGACATCACAAAGAAGCAGCCGATGCTTCCTGCCATTGCCTATGTGGCAGGCTACTGCGCACATGTAGCTGTAGAAAAGTTTGTATATGTACCTGCTGCAAGGACAATCTTGTTTTAGAAGACAAGAGTTGTGCGAGCGACGACTTTTCACTTATTGCGACTGCCACGAGAGGTGGCCTCAAGTTTCCTCAAACTGTAGTTGTGCAGGCGGTTTTGACAATGGAAATAGTGCTTGAGCAACTCGTAAGCAAGAAAAAAGCGCAACCGGGTTTTATGGTTCACGGAAGCAAAAAGGGCTTCGTGTTGCCTTGAAATCATCGTTTACCTGCAGTGATGAAGACCTTGACACCAGTGACCGGGGGCATTCACTATAGCACGTCACGAAGTATATTCCTAGTGCTGCTGCGAATGTTTTGTTGAGCAATCTGCGCAAACATAACAATGACAAGCTTAACGCAAGTAAACAAGAACAAAATCTAAAGCTAAAAACTCTGCCACCTTGACCTTCTTTAGCTGCACATGCAGACCAGGATGTTTTGTAAAAAGGTGCCTATGCAAACCAGCATATTTTCTTTTCTAATTGTAGTGTTTGTTTGCATGTGAAAACTTTGTTTGTAGGTAGTGGTATGCCTTGTTCATTATGAGGTGTTGAAGGATGTATGAAATAAATGAATGAATGAAAAAGTTGACTGTTGTCTGTATTTATAAGTGTCTTATTAGATATTGTTGCATTAGTCAAGTTCGAAATACTTTCAGCATCCAATCTCGAAGTATCAAAGTGAGCATACGTGTGTTTACTAAATTCCCCACCGGTAACGGTTGTCAGGAAAGACCAAAAAAATATCTTATGGTTGTTTAGAAAAAAAAGAGGGGGGGGGGGGAGTTGGTGGGCTTGCATGTCGACAGTCACTGGTCCGCCGAAGCTCTTTTTGCGCATCAGAAAGAAGACGACATTATTGAAATATGTTCAAAACCTATTGCGTAAAAAAGAACTAATGCTGGAGGTAAATTTAAGTTCACGGACTGTTTGCATGCGAAAGACAGGTCGCGAACTCTATCCCGTTTCGGCGCAGTGAAGCCGACTGCCAGGCCAATCTCACCTCCATGACGTCACGGCGGCGTAGTGAGGCCTTGATTGTTTAGGCGGTGTTGCCACAGCTGCTGCCTCGTCCGTTCGCCCGCAACATCTGCCACGACCGCTGCTCGCTACACCTCGTCGGTTCACGCGCAATAAACCTAACGCGCGCCTAAAGAACGCATTGAAACTTGTCTGTACGTGTCACCTACAAGACCTACGCAGGCATCGCTTCAAATGAATCTTCCAGCGCTCACTGCAGCCCCCCCCCTCCCCCGGTTAGCGCCTTTCAACCCGTGACACCACTCATGCTCAACGCTCCTGATTCGCATTCCATCAGGGTTCCCTTCGGAAAGATGGTCAAAGTAATATTATTATTATTATTATTATTATTATTATTATTATTATTATTATTATTATTATTATTATTATTAGATACGCAAATACACAGAGGAAATCGGGAGAGAAAGCTAACAACTGCAACGGGGCCTTGGGGGTCACAACGCCTGCAAACTTAGAAGTGTGGTGGTTTGGGCTTGTTGGCATGACATGACGATAGTTACAGCGCGAGAACAGAATGGTCACAAAGGGACAAGATAGCTCTCGTCTCCTTCTTGTTCCTTTGTCGTCGTTCTGTTTTCGCGCTTTAACTATCGTCAGGCCTGCCAACTATTTCTCTAGATTAACATGGCGTCTTCATATGTCACTAATGAAGCAAATGGCATTCTTAGTTTTCTTCATGGAAACTTGTTTGTTATATACACATATCTGGCTACTTGCTATTGTGATCGGCCCCCTTGTCTTGGCCCCGCTTGGACGCATGAAAAAGTTTCGACTTTGCCGCACTTCCGCAGGTATCAAGAAAGCGACAGGTCTGTCGGCTCGCCTCAAGCCCTTTGGGCCCGCACGGCCGACGGATTACCCTGAAAGCGCTGTTTTAACGCGCTAGCGTTAGTGAGCTCGTGTCGCAGAAATTCCGCCGTCGGCGTCGGCACCGTTGATTGTGAGCGAAAAAGAAGAAAATAAAATAAAAAAGGTATACAATTTGCGGTCCTCATTGAGAATCGAACCCGGGTCGTTCGCGTGGCAAGCAGATTATTTTACTACAAAGCTATCACGTGAATTTTTGTTATTTATTGCATGAAATCACCAGTGTTGTTTCGAAAAAAAAAACACTACATAAATGCCATATAGAGGAAGGAGTGTCCTTAACACATTTTGTTCGACAGGTGTCACAACGAAAACGAGCCCATTCGGCGATTTGTAGACGCATTTGGGAGGCCATCAAACTACGTCGAAAAAGACCAAGACAGTTCAGCCATCGCTGCTAAAACACACAGGAACTTTCAAACAGCTTTGAAAATGGACAGGTATGTCCATCTAGCGGAAAACATGTCATGCCTTTTCAGAGGCGTTGATTAAGCAAACAGCAAACGCGAGTTAATGTGCTGCCATCTGTGAGGCATTGTGAGGTTCTTTATGGCCTCTCAGATCGCAAGCGCATGGCATGTATTTTGGAGGGCATGCAATTCTTGCTTTAGATGAAAAATCTGTATGTACCATTCGCGCGCGCGCGCGCGCGTGTGTGTGTGTGTGTGTGTGTGTGTGTGTGTGTGTGTGTGTGTGTGTGTGTGTGTGTGTGTGTGTGTGTAACAAAACATATTAATATCCACTTAGCGGTTAAATGGCGCACTGGGGGCCGCATTTCGCTATCACTTTCTACTCTTTTCGCTGTCTGGGCTGCCTAGAAAGAGCGGTCCCTGTTGAAGTCGTCAGAATGCACCTGACAAGGAACCGAGTGCCGGAGGAACCGGAGTACCTTTTGAGTGTTCTTTTCCTGCGCACCACGGACTGCCCGGCGTCAAGGCCTCCACGATTAGTCATTCTTGAACCTTGCCGAACCGGAGGGATTGATTCCGCGCGTGAGTTCAAGGTCAACGCACCGTGCCAGCTGTGCCGTGTTTCTGTGTGTACTGCTTCCTCCCTGTACGAAGATCAGCGCGTGCCTTTTCCCCTTTCCTGGAGGGGGTTGTGACTGCGCCTTCGTGAGCGCGTTGAAAGATGATGGTTCGAGAGCGCAGTGATTCGCGAGCACAGTAAAAGACGACGATCCTATTGGAGAATCTCGAACTACATTGTCTTCCCTCGTAAGGCATCTTGGGAAGACGGAGGGTATAAAAAGCGAGCGCAGAGACGCTCGGGTGTGCTTTTCTTTTTTGGTCATGTATCCCGCTACCCAATCATGTAAATAATGTAAATAAAAGTTTCAGTTTTAAGCTTCGTCTCCGGATCGTCTTCGCTCTGACCCTTGGATGGTTCGGAGTCCCCCAGTCGCAACATTACTTATAAGACAATATTAGCACCTAACTTGAATGCGCATGCGCCGCTTCCAACCCTCACCAACGTAACACCAATAAAACTATGGAATCAGACTACTCATGACCGTCGAGCGTAAGCATGGTGTAATATTCAGGTGGGGACATTGCACAGGCCTGAGCGGCCAAAGCATGTTCGCCTACGCTAGGGTGCCCTCTGCTGCGAGCCATTGGATGACGCCGTGGCCAGCGGACCCAGCGAAGGAACGCTGGCAACTTCAATTCCTCTGCCTCCTCAACGTTGTCGTTCACAGTAGTGGGAGAAATACTCAAAGCGCGAAGGAATATCGTTCGGGGGAGAGTGTCAGCATCTGTCTATAGGTATATTCTTACTTCGTAGGTGCAAGGGAACTGAAATCTCGGCCGGAACACTAGTGCAAATATTCACACGGGCAGTTACAGATCAAGACGGAACACAGCTCTGGCTTGTCGGTCCTTTTAAACTTTTGTGCTCATCTTGCTAGCCTTTCGACAGCCCGTTCTATATAGCTCGTCTGTAGCTGCTACCTGAATTTTATCATGCGTCACCTCGTACTGCTGGCATCAAGCAGACCCACCGACATTCTGACATCAACTATAAGTAACTGCTGACACCCGTATGCCTTTATTTTTCTTCTTCGGGACAATATAACATTGGAATGACCCGCCTCCTGACGTTGTGCACTAAACAAAGACAATAATTTTCAAAGGAGCAGTGAGCTTATGCACGTGAGCATATGACCGTCACATAAAACCTCATTCCTGGGATCATTGAGGTATTCGCAAGTCGATCAGTCCCCCAATCAATGAAGAAAGACTACGTCAAAACAAAAGTCACTACCGATACTTATCTGAAGGAAGGCGGGGAAGCAGATTCCGTGAAATTGTAGCGAGGGCGAACACGCTACGACATTACATGAATGCTTGTGGTTCGAATGCTGACATGTTCTAAATTAGACCACTAGACCACCGTGGCCGGTACGGTGAACTCGTTTTAAA